TGTACATAATCAATTGCATAAATGTACCAAAGCAAAGCTTGTTCAAAAGAATTAGAAACTGCTTTTATGCTGTGTACAAATGACTAGATGATGTGGAAGTTGTACAAGTAGTTTTGAAAATTTCATTGCTGATTTGAGAAATGCACCAAAGCGACTGAGAGAAACTGTAAAGCAGTAAGATAGAGCTGAATGGTGACCCCTCCTCTTCTTTCTCTGCAGTATACAGGATGTCTTTCATCCACCCTTTCCAAGAGGATCAAAAGCCCGTTAAAACTGACCCCAATGCATTTTCTCTCTCGCACACGTAGTTTCCTCTGCCAGATACCCCCTTTATCCACATTGTGGAAACGAGCCCCCATTTCCTTTTTTAATGCTTAGCTCATTACTCATGCACACACTTACATTAGGCTTATACATTCAGATGAATGTCCTGCCAAATTCAAACACCCTATTTACGCTAAACTTCCTCTAGCTCATAAATTCAGTGCAGCGACTGTAAACAGGTTAGCTCTGCTTGTGTAAATATAGGACTGTATATAATCTTGTTAGCAATTCTTCAATGTATAGGCCTATCACATTTCCGTGTGATATTTCGCTGTCAGACAGATACCAAACCAATCAATTATATTTTACACATTTTAAGTGAATATACACGTCTTCTGAAAAGCAGTAGTTTTTATGGCTGAACGCACATACGGCAGGCGTGTGATTTAGAATAACTGCTCAGCAATCTCTGCTTTTGTTGCGCCCCCAACTGGTCAAGTTTGGCACATACAGTTTCATTTATATTTCAGTTGTACATAGAACATTTTATATCTACTTATTCACTGCTACACAGAAATTATGTGTACATTATGTTAATATATGCCACTTTTAATATATATTTTAACTGAAACAATATTGACGTAACATACAATAATACAAAAAAATTGTAAAAACAAAAAAATGCCTTAGGTGTTCAGTGATTAGTGGGTGTTTTAACATAGGATCAAAATATAATATACAATATATCATAATAAACCACAAATGTCTCTTGCTGGAGTTGTCTTCAATAAATCAAATTATCAGAATATTTACAAATAAATTACCTTTGCAAATAAAATACAATTCACTAATACATATAAATGACGAATAAATGAGGAGAAATAGTAAACTATTCAAATGAGAACCAAACTGCATAACTAAACTTTTGAAGTGGCTCTTGGCTTGAACAGAAAGAGACCTGAAAGCCCTACAAAAAAATTTAAAAAATGATTTTAAAACTGTTTTTATTGCTGTAAGATCTTATCTTCTTATGTACAGTATCAATGCAACTTTTTCAATTCACTGTACTATGCAGTTCATCAAGACGTCAAGAGCTCAAAATAATGTTATTACAGTAACAGTGCTGTGTGAGAGTGATGTTTAGGTGTGTGTGTGTGTAGTAGGAAGCCTATTCACAGTATTTCCTGTGCTGGCTCAGGACCCATGGGAACACACTGACGAACACATTCAAGCAGAACAATAATGTCGAAAAATTGTATTCTTTTCCACCATCATGTGCACACAGTGCCATCCAAGTGTAAAATAGAATTTTAAAAAACACTTTTTAACCAGAAGTAACATGAATCAGTGCTAATTCATAAACTGACAAAAACATTTCTCATTCCCTGTTATTCATTCTGTATTATTTGTCTGTTCCACTCTCACTCTGTACCTCACTTTGTACTATAAATTCTCTTCATTAGTGAAAGTCAAGATTCACTTGCACAATTCATGCTAAATTTACAAAAAGTCTAATTATAATGTGTAAAAAATGTGCTTGACACTTTATGACAACCAGATCAACCATTTTGCATTTAATGACTTATACGATGAACTAAAGACTATATGTTTTGAGGGGTAAGACTATTGCACAGAAAACTATATAATACATTTTGAGCAACATGAAATTAGCAACTGATAATGTAGGATACCGCAGATAAATGTACATAATCAATTGCATAAATGTACCAAAGCAAAGCTTGTTCAAAAGAATTAGAAACTGCTTTTATGCTGTGTACAAATGACTAGATGATGTGGAAGTTGTACAAGTAGTTTTGAAAATTTCATTGCTGATTTGAGAAATGCACCAAAGCGACTGAGAGAAACTGTAAAGCAGTAAGATAGAGCTGAATGGTGACCCCTCCTCTTCTTTCTCTGCAGTATACAGGATGTCTTTCATCCACCCTTTCCAAGAGGATCAAAAGCCCGTTAAAACTGACCCCAATGCATTTTCTCTCTCGCACACGTAGTTTCCTCTGCCAGATACCCCCTTTATCCACATTGTGGAAACGAGCCCCCATTTCCTTTTTTAATGCTTAGCTCATTACTCATGCACACACTTACATTAGGCTTATACATTCAGATGAATGTCCTGCCAAATTCAAACACCCTATTTACGCTAAACTTCCTCTAGCTCATAAATTCAGTGCAGCGACTGTAAACAGGTTAGCTCTGCTTGTGTAAATATAGGACTGTATATAATCTTGTTAGCAATTCTTCAATGTATAGGCCTATCACATTTCCGTGTGATATTTCGCTGTCAGACAGATACCAAACCAATCAATTATATTTTACACATTTTAAGTGAATATACACGTCTTCTGAAAAGCAGTAGTTTTTATGGCTGAACGCACATACGGCAGGCGTGTGATTTAGAATAACTGCTCAGCAATCTCTGCTTTTGTTGCGCCCCCAACTGGTCAAGTTTGGCACATACAGTTTCATTTATATTTCAGTTGTACATAGAACATTTTATATCTACTTATTCACTGCTACACAGAAATTATGTGTACATTATGTTAATATGTGCCACTTTTAATATATATTTTAACTGAAACAATATTGACGTAACATACAATAATACAAAAAAATTGTAAAAACAAAAAAATGCCTTAGGTGTTCAGTGATTAGTGGGTGTTTTAACATAGGATCAAAATATAATATACAATATATCATAATAAACCACAAATGTCTCTTGCTGGAGTTGTCTTCAATAAATCAAATTATCAGAATATTTACAAATAAATTACCTTTGCAAATAAAATACAATTCACTAATACATATAAATGACGAATAAATGAGGAGAAATAGTAAACTATTCAAATGAGAACCAAACTGCATAACTAAACTTTTGAAGTGGCTCTTGGCTTGAACAGAAAGAGACCTGAAAGCCCTACAAAAAAATTTAAAAAATGATTTTAAAACTGTTTTTATTGCTGTAAGATCTTATCTTCTTATGTACAGTATCAATGCAACTTTTTCAATTCACTGTACTATGCAGTTCATCAAGACGTCAAGAGCTCAAAATAATGTTATTACAGTAACAGTGCTGTGTGAGAGTGATGTTTAGGTGTGTGTGTGTGTAGTAGGAAGCCTATTCACAGTATTTCCTGTGCTGGCTCAGGACCCATGGGAACACACTGACGAACACATTCAAGCAGAACAATAATGTCGAAAAATTTTATTCTTTTCCACCATCATGTGCACACAGTGCCATCCAAGTGTAAAATAGAATTTTAAAAAACACTTTTTAACCAGAAGTAACATGAATCAGTGCTAATTCATAAACTGACAAAAACATTTCTCATTCCCTGTTATTCATTCTGTATTATTTGTCTGTTCCACTCTCACTCTGTACCTCACTTTGTACTATACTGATGTTTCTGGTCATTTTGAGTCTTATCGCTGTTGTAATGACCCATGGTGTAGTAATTGCCACTTTCATATCAGGAATGTGGAACCATCATCAGCAGTGGGTATATGCTGAACAAACAAACAGTGGAGATCTTAAGTGAGTTATCTTATTTTACTAACGTTTTCTCTGTTAATTAGCTGGATGGATCTTTAGCGGTGGCCCTCTTGAGAAAATAGCCGAGGCTACATGATGTGTTTACACTGTTGAACATCCCTTGTGGTGCCGTCACACGCAACACAGTGCGTTGAGGCCGCAAGAAAGTCAAATTGGATTTGATTCCTCAGATTAGTTCAGAATGATTGAAAAAATGACGTTCCCAAGAGCCCAAAAGGCCTTATCTGAGGGAAAGTATCTCTGCCGTGCACTATTTAAGGAGATAAGAGAGGGCATAATGGCACACAGTACTTGGGTGGTCTGTGTTGTGTGGTGTTATGGTGCGGCGCTTTCCCAGAACAAGTGGAAGTAACGCCATATGCATTGTGAAAATGGTTCATAATCTACATGTGACCTCACAGGATGACTTTGATGTTGAACATTGTGTAATTGAAATACAATTAGTTAAACTGAGTGTTGCATCACAGCATGAAACTCAAAATCTGGTGCGTGATGTTATATAGGCCTGTTATATGAAATGATTAATAACTTTTATACACAATTTATAAATTATATTAATTTAATTTATATATTATATAAATTAATTTATAAATTATATACCAAAAATTCTTTGAATTTGAATCATTCATTCAAATATATATCTGTCCCTTGTTTACATTCTTATTCCCATTTGTATATGAAATGAAGGTTTCATTCATATTTAATGATGATTAAAGTTCAAAATAAAACAAGTAAGGAGAAATCCTAAACTAATACTAGACAACTTTGATTCAGCAGGAGTCATCTACCAAAACGTTGTATATTAAAGTTATTTAGTTCCCAAGCAAGTTCGAGTAGTGTGCAGGATTTTTCATTCTTTTGTTTGATTTTGAACTTTTATTCGACACACCTAGGCTACAACATATTCAGTCTACTATATTTAAATTTTTATGATGATAAAAATGTAAAGTGTTAAAATTGCTAGATGTTTTAGCTTTCTTTCGCTCATTCTCCAGAAACATGAGAATTTTCCAGCAAATACCAACAGTTCAGACCATCAGTCTTCTTTTGTAGGTATTTACATTTTTAAAATAAAGAAGAAATAGCATATTCCTTAAAAATTACATTACAGTTTGCATATCTACACTCTGTGGCTCAATATGATGCATTGTTCGTGTGTCTGTCATGTGATTCGTCGTGTGGGCGGGGCCGCAGCATCTCAACCGGAACTGTTTTTCAGAGGAGAGAAGCTTTGTGTAAAGATCCTCTTCACCGCCTTTACCTCTGTAAGTAATCGCAATGTTTTATTCTACCTTGCTTTGCGGATGATAAAGCAGGGTTCTTATTATGTGGAAAAACTCTTAATAAATTCGTTGTCGTCGGCTTGTCATTTCTGTCGGATTGTTTTTAGCATTAGCCAGTCAGCTATTGTCAACTTTCAGAGCTGCTGTTTATGTTCATGTTTTGTTTTGTTTGACAACCTCACTATAATGTATGTAAATTCGTTTTTGTCTTAACTGAGTTGTGTATTTTATCTTTGTGAAAATTCATGTTGGGTAACACTCTTCGTCAGTTCATTACATTGTCAGTAATTACAAACTCATGAAACCGCTACTATATTATAAAACCTTAACCAGTTTGTATGCATAATAATTTAAGCAAAGCAAGAGCGTATAAATCAAATTTGACTTCAGTATAATTTGTTTAAATTGGTTTAATGCCATTTCTATGAAAGATCTAACATCTTGTTTTGTTTTGGGGTCACGTTCTGTTTGTGCTTTTCTTCCGTCTCATCTTCAGTTAAGTGTTTTTGGTGATTGTCAGTGTTAAGTAATAGCAGCAACTTAAAATGCAACCCAGGGCCCATCATGCTTTGCAGGAGCTCAGTTTTTTATGTATTATTATAGCTGAAATCATAATGTAAATTAAAACCAGATTATAGCTAAATTGTTAATTATAATTTTTTCTTGTGTTGAATATTGAATGCATGTTTTCTATTTTTGCTATTTGGTGTTTACTGGCTACGGCTTTTAGAGATAGAAGTAAAACACTGCAAATCTATTTAAATCTATTTGTCTTGCAAACATAAACTTTCAGCAATGAATACAATTCTTGCCGATAAAATAAGCATATAATTATTTATATCATGGCCAATATTTAGAATTTATATCTTTATTATCTAATAAAAGCACTAAGTAGTCATTTTGTAAATGTCGAAAAATTATATGCAGTCAGCAGTATGATGCTCTCGTGTTAAATAGTTTGTTCAAGCTCCTGCGATTACATGTCGAGTGTTAATTTCTCCTGCTGAGAGAGTGTGTGCTGTAGGTGGGGGGTCACTGTGTTTATGAAGGGGGCTGAGTGTTGATAGGATGGCGCTTAGTAATTTGTCTGAGAAGAGCTCCTTATTCCATAGAGACTCTCAGGTGTCAGTCATCTAAGCAGTCAATCATTTCCAAATGTTGCCACACAGAAGTGTGTGTGTGTGTGTGTGTGTGTTTGACTTTACCATTTTCACTTTCATCAGACTTTGCTGTAACTGAGCAGAAGTTAAAATGTAATCCTTTTAATTGTTTGTTTTATGTGAATTGTTTTTCCCCTCCCTTTGGATATTTTTTCTTTTCTTTTCTTTCTTTCTTCCTTTTGTTCTGTCAAAACTACCCCACTGATTTTTGTTTTGTCAAAAAATGCCAAGCCGCTTAATGATTTTTTCCCCAATTTTCTTCTTAATTTATTTTCAAAATTATTGTTGTCACTTTGACATTTTTGCCACGCTTTAGAGTTTTGAATGAGAACATACTCATCATAAAAGAGGTCTATTTAAATCATAGTATGCATGAAATGCATTTTAGTGGACATCCAGACAAAAAAAATAACACAGGGCACCATTGGCCTATGTAATCTATAAAGACAATTTGACTATTTACCAAGGTATTGGTATCATCATAAAAATTCTGCTGTGAATATACTTGTCAGACACCCAGTTTATATTACTGCTAGACGTCTTCTGAAACTGCACTGTGGACTCTGAGGGTCTGCTGTAGAACTCAACCATCACCCTGTCCCCCTTTATCTCTCTCTCTGGCCCATACCAGAGACCACACAGACACAGAAACACACTCTACCAGACCACACAGAGGCAGCTATGGGGTCTTGCACGCAAACCTCCCTGGAGCTGTCAGTCTTGTGCTCCGTGTGGGTGTTTGCATACAAGAGAGAGCGTTTGTGACAGTGCAAAATGCCACGGGAAAAATGCCTTGATTGCTGAACTACTAGTCATATTGCATTTAGTGTAGCATCCGTATCACTCCGAACAGTAACACGCTCGCTCGGTGTGAGCCTAATGGGTAGATTTATTTGTTCATGTCTAACAGTTTTTAAATGCACTGAACGTGCTGAATGCCTCCTGAGCCTAAACAAAACACTTGGTGTTTACCTGTGTCTAGTCTAGGTGTTTAAAGGATGTCTCGTGCACGCCAGCCTCCTTTGGTGACTGGCATCTCACCCAACGAGGGCGCGCCGTGGACCAAAGTCACTATTCGTGGAGAGAACCTGGGCACTGGACCCAATGATCTCATAGGTAATACACATGCAATAGCCTTTGCATTACAGATACACACCCTCCTTTTGAACAAACATTCACTAGTGTTCAAAGGTTTGGGTTCATTAAGCTTTTTTTTTTTATTATTCAGCAAGGGCACATTAAATTGGTCATAAGTGACAGTGAAGACGTTACAAAAATTATATTTAAAAAAAAAAAAAATTCTCAGAGTAAGATGCCATTAAGGACCTGAGCTGAGGCTAATTTGGCCATTTGATTTCCTTTTCTCTTGGTCTTTGTCTGTCAGGTCTGTCTATCTGTGGTCATAACTGTTTGCTGACAGCAGAATGGATGTCTGCTAGTAAGATAGTGTGTCGAGTGGGTCCTGCTAAAGATGACAAGGGTGAGATCATTGTCACCACCAGGAGCGGAGGCCAAGGGACATCCACAGTCTCCTTCAAACTGCTCAAACCCGAGAGGATCGGTGAGACACACACTCACAGTGCCCTCTGACTCATGTACACACACTCTGTGCATGTTTACAATGCTCAATCTTACACCAATTATGCTTAACCCTGTTGTAAGGTCATGTAAACATCTTAAACTGTGCCCTTTCATTGCGTAAAGATCTGCTTATCATAAAATGATTGCTACATCTAGTTTTATACCAACTGAAGTCAGTTTATGTTTTGATGTAAAAAACAAGCAAACAAACCAAAAATCCTGATAATTTCGGATCTCATGTAAAAGTGTTTTTTGCATTATCAGCATATTGTTGTGCATGTAAACACACTCAATGTCTGTTAAAGGCAAAATCATAATTTTGGTTTGATTGATACACACTCCTTGAATGTACACATATGCTCTTTGAAGACGGCAATGGATTTTAAGCCCTCAACCAATGAGTATGTGCATGTTTTTTTGTGTTTAGGCATTCTGGATCAATCTGCGGTCTGGCTTGATGAGTTGAATTACTATGACATGAGGACCGATCGCAACAAAGGAATCTCTCCTCTCTCGTTGAGGCCGGCCAACCCTTTGGGCATCGAAATAGACAAGTAAAGAAACATTCACAATTGAATTTGTGTTGTCCTCTTATGAACTTCGAAAGTAATACATTTACACCTACAACTAAGCACACGTATTGCTCTACTTGAGACACACACACACACAGTCTGGTTCACTATCCTTGTGGGGACTCTCCATAGGCGTAATGGTTTTTATACTGTACAAACTGTATTTTCTATCGCCCTACACCAACCCTACACCTAAACCTACCCCTCACAGAAAACATTGTGCATTTTTACAATCTCAAAAAAACTCATTCTGCTGTACCCATTGACACAAGTTCCCATGAGTTGGTGTGTATTTAGGTTTAAGTCCCCACCAATGTAGAAAAACCTGTACACACACACACACACACACACACATGTGCTTCATTTGATTAAAACACACACTCACATAGACTAAAACAAATGCATTTCCTCACACACGTCACCCAAAAAGCACTACCCTGTGTTTATAGAAGTGGACTGCTGTGTTTATAAGGAAGGAGGTTCAGCAGAAAGTAGAAACAGCCCATTGTGTGGATGTCTTCTACCTGGATGAAGTCATTGGTACACTATTTCCTTTGATAGGAAGTGAAACTCTTCCTTTCCCTTTACCTCTGCAGCACCTTTAACCATTTACTCATTTATATCTATATATTCAGTCAGATGAGATACACTACAGTTCAAAAGTTTGGGGTGGATAAGATTTTGTAATATTTTTTAAAAGAAAAATCTTATGCTCACCAAGCCTGCATTTATTTGATAAAAAATATAGTAAAAACAGTAATATGTGAAATATTACTACACTTTAAAACAATCTATTAATTATATTTTATAATGTAATTTATTCCTGTGAGAGCAAAGCTCTCATGTTTCTAACATGTTGATTTTTGTATTTCTTTAAAAAAATAAATCTTACTGTACCCATATTTTTCAGCGGTATATGAATCATATGTATTTCATCAGTCTATTCTGTGACACATCAAAAGACACAGTGGGTTGGCTTATGCAGTGCTGTTTATATGTGGACAGATCTGGTTTGTGCCCTGTCTTGTTTTCTTTATGGTCTGGACTGTGGTAGATCAGATGGTCTATGGTCTGTGGTATTTTCGTGATGAGTCTTTATAGACCAGCTGTGTGGTTGTCTTAATTCTGTCTTTTGTTTTTCAGAGGGAAGGTTCCTCTGAAGGATCTGGAGAACATGTTCCCTAGTATGAGTGGAGACTTCACTAGTGAGAATTTCTCTGCCACCTGGTATCTCATTGAGAACCATTCTTCAACCAGGTCGGTCTATATACCATCCATCTGTACATTTGTTAATCTGCCAAAATAGATTTTTGTGTGATGTGCGTTATGTTTGTTGCTGTTTTAGCTTTGAACAACTGCGTGCGGCTGTGGGAAATCTTAAGAAACAGGCCAGTAAGAAGAATGAGGGCAGTCTGGCCTACGTGAAAGGAGGTCTCAGCACTTTCTTTGAGGCTCAGGATGCTCTTGCAGGTACGTGTGCTTGGTGTGTACATTTAAACACATATAAACACAGCCATAAGTAATTCAGTTCTTGCATTTGACTGAAGGAAACAGAAGCATATTTTAGGGAAACAGAATATTGTGCTGGAAGTAATATAGGGTGGGACTGGATTGTAGCCATGAGGATTTTGTTGCCTTTAGGTCATGTTGGAATGATTGTGTTAAAATTACTCATCCCGTAAATACAATGTTGTAATGACCATTGGGAAGCTCAGGATTTTTGAGTTCCACTTTTTGAGTCGATTTGAATTAAAGACTGGAAGCAAATTGGAATTGATTATAAGCAGTTTAATTTGTGAATATTGATTGTACAGTATTTATTTTTTTTTTTTACTTTTTGAATATTTTCTGTGGACTTCTGGTGAAGAATTGTTAAGCTTGCCAGAAAATGTTATGACACTACCAAAACATCAGTGTAAAATTATGATTTAAATTACATACCAATTTTTCAGCTATCTTGGAAGTCCTCTGAGAAATGTAATCTTGTTCTGATAGAAACGTTCATGATTGTGATACATTTTTTTCCCACAAAGTGTATAATTTAAAAAGTTTTTTTGACCTTCATTGAATAACTCATTGGGTTGGTTCCTATATTAAGTATTAAAAGTAAAGCTCAAATAGACAATATGAATGCTAATATGGATGCATTTAACAAAATTAGTTGCATGGGCCTTTTATTCAAGTTTCTTTCACTTCTTACATCATTGTACACAGGTGTATGTTCTCTACTCAGACTGCTGTCATCAGAGGTCAATGTCACTGTGCAGATTCTATTTTTCAAATCTGTCTGTGTGTGTTGGATTTGTCTCGGTTCACTTGTCTGAAGTCAAACAGAAGAACTATTCTTAGCACTGCGTGTCCATGTGATTGACATGCATGGGGACGGATAACAAGGCGTGGTTGTCAATGTTTAGATGAGGTTGTAATAAGGTTGTCATTGTGCTGAGAGGAAACGAGAGAGCAGCAAACGGAAGCTGCACTGATTCCCAGAGAAGACTCCCAAAACTTAC